TCCTGGCTGCTTGCAGAGGCAAAGGAAAATGTTGGGGGGCTTTTTAAACTGAACCCACATAAAGGATCACTTGGAAAAAACGAAATTGGATCCCGGTTTTACAACCTAACAGATGGACAGAGTAACGGGCAAAAGGGGGGGGGTTTGGCCTGTACATTGCAGGGGTCACTTGTTTGCACAGAACCTTAATGCCTCAAATGATGTGGGTGGAAGCTTTAGCAGAAAAGGTCAAAACCCAAAACCAGTCTTTGTGGTATCAAAAAAACAACCCTTTCCGGATCAACACCCCCAGCAATTCCAGGAACAGCTTTTAAAAAAATTGACCACGTCGGGAAAATTTTCCACTCCGCCCCCAAACATTTTGCCCCTGGGGGATTTAAACCCTTAAGGGCAACAAAAAATGGGGGAATATAGCAAATAATATTGTTCAGTAAAAAACCCCGGGAGGCACCTGATAAAAAAACTCACACTCACACGAGTTTTTAAATCTCTGCCAAAATTAAATTTAAACCAGCAAATAATAGAGCCTCTAACGGAGAATACCCTAGCCCCTCTCTTCACAAACAATGATGATTGAAAAAAAAAAGTCACCATATCAAAAAACAAAAATACCAGATCAAAAACAAAATTTGAGGTTCAGACATGTATGCGTGGAGCCCCAGACCGACTAATGAATTAGTCACGAGGGAGCATTCACCAAATTCAACTTAAAATAACAAAAACAAAGTGGGACCAAGTAAACCCAAAGCCCTTTAAAACCCATATAAGTTTGGGAAGATATCCCTAAGCAACACAGACCCCAATTTTATCCTAGAACAGTTTAATTTGGGGCACTCGATGTTTGCCAAAAGGGGCTTTTTCCCTTTCTAAAAAAAAGGAGGGAAGAAGTAAAAATAGAAAAGACAGGCGCTCCCTTTACGGGCGACGGAAAAGAATAACAAGGGGCCCAAAAAAGGTCAATAAAATCTGAAATGCGTGGGAGACCTGGGGGGGGTTTTAAGCAAGCATGAATTTAAGCAAAAGGGAATCTTATAGGATTAAAGGAAAATCGCGGGAAAACAAAAAGCCAAAAGAAATCGAAAGAAACCCAAAGTATTTCTTCTCCATGAAAAATAAAAATCGGAACAAGGGCCAGTTTTTGGGCCACTACTTAACAAGATGGGTCCTAAAACAGATGACAGCAAGAAATGATGAGCTACTCAATTCCCAAAATGATCATTTTTTAAAGGAAAGCCGCAAACCCCAACTGAAAAGCCCGAAGATCAAAATTAATTTTTTTTTGGGGAGCCAAAAAATTTTTTAACACAAGCCTTTTCCGAGGTTTACCCTTTGACCCCAAAATGACTTCGAACAGGCGATAAATCCCTGCCCTTTTGCCTCTGCCCCGGGGCCAGACTCATGGAACTCCTTTTTTCATCAAGAACTGCAAAAGCCCCTACCACGAGCCTTTTCCATCCAAGGGGAAGAGGGAGCATGGACAGGGGGGCCCGCCCCCCACATTTTAATAAAAACAGCCCTAGCCCCACTCAAAAGGGGGGGGGGCATTTAAAGCAACAGAAAGAACTACAGACCGATAGCACTAACATCCCATATCAAAAAAATTTTTAAAAGGGTTTCCCTAAGAAGCAAGATCACCCCCCCCTCAGAAACCCATCAATTCCCCAAAACCCCGGGGGAAACATGGGTTTGAAAAAGGTTTTCGCTCCGTCTGTTTTAAAACATTGGTTCACTATGGACAAGGCCCCAAAGATGAAACAGAAAAAAAAAGAATCAGATGTAATATAAAACAGACATTGAAAAAAGCCTTCAAACAAGTGGACCCATGGCAAAAAAACGCAAAAATTTGCGTGCAAAAAGGAATAACAGGAAAAGTCGGGCGATGGAACTAAAAATTTCCTCCTAACAAACACAGAAGTAGTCGTCAACAAAATTTAAAATCCCCAGGCAGCTACGTGAAAAGCTCTGTCCCAAAAAGGCACATACTTGCTTCCCACTTGTTTCCTCATCCCCAAATCCGACATAACCCAAAGGGTGTCCCGCCCCAGCACCGGGGTCTTCCTTTTCAGATGCACCCGAATCTGCAAAACATTTTCTTTCCCTTGCAGACACTGCAAAGGGTCCAGGCGGACATCAAAACCAAAACCCTTTTAGTGGGGTGCAAAAAAACAATATGAAGTTTTAACGAAGAAAAATTTTAAATTTCCAGATATGGTAAACACGAGGGAAATTTAAATTTTTTTCCAAAACAGAGTACAAAACAAATTCTGGGCCCCAAAATAGACGAAACACCAACGTCCCAAAAACCCGGGGGTGGTCAAAAGGGGGGGGGTGGGACCACCTTCAAGGAAAAAAAAAACATTGTATCAACGCATTTTTTTTTTTTTTTTTTGATTTTTTTTTTAAACTCCAGGGAAAAATTAAAATGGGAAACCCAGAAAACCTTTTAAAGGGACTTTTCCAAAGGGGGATATTTCCCCCCCCAAAACCCTAAAAAGCACCTTTCCCAAAGGGGGTGAAATTGCCCACCTAAAAATTTAAAGAGAACCTTCACGGCGCGCCTAAAGGGGATAAAACACCTCAATTACCTGGGGGGCTTTAGTTCCTAAACCCCAACCCCCGGAACCGGGAGGCGGAGAGATACTGGGTTTAAAATACACCTGGAAAATCCAAAGGGACAAATCCGAACTTTCAACGAAAATCACTCACTACGAAACAAAAAAAACTTGGGAGACGAAAGCAACATCCCCCCCAAAGAAAACAGGGGTTCCCCTAGCACTTGAAGACCATACAATAAGTGTCAGGGGGCCCGAACTGTTTTAAAGCCTCCCAACATACAAAAGGGGAATTTCCAACAGACCCCCGGCAACTTCAAGCTGGCCCCTGGACAAGCACCAAAGTCAGTTTTGACCACCGGGCTTGGGGGCTCGTACGTTGGTTTGGGGTGCAGCCAACAGCAAAAGCCTGGTTTTATCAGGGTCTGATCCACCCCCCGGAGGCCCGGTCCCCAGAACCCGGGCCCCGGGGGGGTTTACCTTTCCCAACCTCTCCAGGTAAACTCCAGGGAATACTCCTTTACACGGATGGTTTTCCCCGTCAAATTCCCCCACACAGGGTGGTTTTTCCCCCGTCATACCCCATCACACAGGATGGTTTTCCTTATACCCCCAACCCCAGGAGGTTTTTCCCGTCAAATCCATCACACAGGATGGTTTTAACTGTCATACCCCCCACACAAGGGTTGGGTTTTTCCCGCAAACTCCCTCACACGGGTGGTTTTCTGTCAAACTCCATAAAAAGGGGGTTTTCCCCTTTATAAAACCCCCACACAGGATGGTTTTTCCTTTTATACTCCATCCCCAAAGGGGGTTTTTTTGTCATACTCCAACCCCAGGATGGGTTTTCCCGTCCCTACTCCACACAGGATGGTTTTCCTGTCATACTCCATCACACAGGATGGTTTTACTCTCATACTCCATCACAGGATGGTTTTCCTGTCATACTCCATCACACAGGATGGTTTTCCTGTCATACTCCATCACACAGGATGGTTTTCCTGTCATACTCCATCACACAGGATGGTTTTCCTGTCATACTCCATCACACAGGATGGTTTTCCTGTCATACTCCATCACACAGGATGGTTTTCCTGTCATACTCCATCACACAGGATGGTTTTACTGTCATACTCCATCACACAGGATGGTTTTCCTGTCATACTCCATCACACAGGATGGTTTTACTGTCATACTCCATCACACAGGATGGTTTTCCTGTCATACTCCATCACACAGGATGGTTTTCCTGTCATACTCCATCACACAGGATGGTTTTACTGTCATACTCCATAACACAGGATGGTTTTACTGTCATATTCCATCACACAGGATGGTTTTACTGTCATACTCCATCACACAGGATGGTTTTCCTGTCATACTCCATCACACAGGATGGTTTTACTGTCATACTCCATCACACAGGATGGTTTTCCTGTCATACTCCATCACACAGGATGGTTTTCCTGTCACACCCTATCACGTAGGATGAGTTCCTTGTCATATTCGACACATGGGATGGCTTTTATTGCTGAGGTAATGAATACATCAGCCTGGGGAGGGAAACTCCACTCGGGGTTAAATAAGTTTATTTAGGTACATGTACACATAAGTACAATTATCATATACGTGTATTAACCTTTGTGTAAATTACCTAGGATAACCCAAAAAAGTCGTATTTCCATTATGTTAGTATTACAGGGAGGCTATAATAATAATAATAATAATAATAATAATAATAATAATAATAATAATAATATTTTTTATTTTTACAAGTATATGTACAAGGTATACAGACCTATCTGACATCAGTCACATACTATATATGTATAGAAAGCAAATTAAGTCCCCACATTTTGTCCCCAGGATGCGACTCACACCCAGGTACCTATTTTACTGATAGGTGAATAGGGACAGTAGGTATTTAAGACATCTGCTGTCCCTGTTCACCCGTACCGGGGTTTGAGCCACGGACCTGTATGTGTGAACCGAGTGCGCTAGCAATCGAGCTACGGAACACTGTATTACGACGCTGATTGAATGGAAAGGAGGAGGACCACTTCATTATGTTAACAACAATTACTAACAGTTTCAAAACAATGAGAAGCCACGACGTTTGTAATCAGCTCACTTATATTTACTCTTTATTTAAAATTGCCTTTAGGTAAATTTTCGGTTTTGTATGAAGCTATGTACATAAGTTTTGCCTTGTTTATTTTATTAAATTTATTGTTTATATATTTTGAAGAGGATAAATTGAAAATAAAAAATGAAACCTCAGCTCATGTATTAAACAAATCACGGTAAAATATATATTTATATATATAATATGGGGTAACTTGTGATCTAGAATGTTCTATAATAAATATTGTTTTTACTTCATGATAGAATGAGTACGCTCGTAATCTTCTAAGAGCATCTGGTAGATAATAGCTAAAAGGCGACTGCGTCCTAGTACATGATTGGTTGATGCTCCTGGACAACTGCTCAACTGGCAAATAAGAGCCCAGCAGTCTCAATCATCACCCAATCACAAGACGACTTGGAAATGCGTCACTCAATGTTTTCTTCCTCGCAGCAGATGCGTCCTATGTTTTTCCTCGACGCAGAGAGCAGCAAAAATGTCCAGAATTTACTCGTTATAAGGTAAGTTACGAAGGAATGATGCTGTTGACGAGGAGAATGTGGTGACGTGAGGGGTAATTATCTAACGTTCCACCTGCAGGAGTGCCAGAGGTGCCACACAGCGTCACCTGCCAGGTAATATATGGCAGAAATCTGTGGCTATTTCAGTTGTCATTGTGATTTTTGATGTCATTACTAGGGACTAATGATGACATTTCTCAGTTGATGAATGTGGATGAGTGTGTCAGGAGCTTAAGGGTGGAGATGTTGGGTTGACATTAGGGAAATGAAGCAGACAGGAGGAGGAAGAGATCAGGAAGACTGGCAGACGAGGCCAGGGTCAGTCCCAAGGTTGAGGTTTCTGGTGCCCAGGAGGTGATGGAGTCCGTCCCTCAGTCATGTCTGTCTTGAGTTACAGGTGATGTACATTTCTGTAATGATGGGTGAATTTAGGTCTGTTGATGGGTAATGTACAGGTGTGTAGCAATGGGTGACGTACAGGAAGGTAGTGATGGGTGATGTTCAGGACTGTTGTGATGGGTGATGTACAGGACGGTAGTGATGGGTGACGTACAGGACGGTAGTGATGGGTGACGTACAGGACGGTAGTGATGGGTGACATACATGATTGTAGTGATGGGTGACGTACATGATGGTAGTGATGGGTGACGTACAGGACGGTAGCAATGGGTGACGTAAGGACGGTAGTGATGGGTGATGTACAGGACGGTAGTGATGGGTGACGTACAGGATGGTAGTGATGGGTGATGTACAGGACGGTAGTGATGGGTGACGTACAGGACGGTAGTGATGGGTGACGTACAGGACGGTAGTGATGGGTGACGTACAGGACGGTAGTGATGGGTGACGTACAGGACGGTAGTGATGGGTGACGTACGGGCGTAGTGATGGGGACGTACGGACAGTAGTGATGGGGAGTACAGGACGGTAGTGATGGAGTATGGAACAGTAGTGATGGGGGACGTACGGGACGGTAGTGATGGGGGACGTACGGGACAGTAGTGATGGGGGACGTACTGGACGGTAGTGATGGATGTACGGGACAGTAGTGATGGGGGACGTACGGGACAGTAGTGATGGGGGATGTACAGGACGGTAGTGATGGACGTATGGAACAGTAGTGATGGGGGACGTACGGGACGGTAGTGATGGGGGACGTACGGGACGGTATTGATGGGGGATGTACGGGACGGTAGTGATGGGGGCGTACGGGACGGTAGTGATGGGGACGTACGGGACGGTAGTGATGGGGACGTACGGGACGGTAGTGATGGGGACGTACGGGACGGTAGCGATGGGGGATGTATGGGACGGTAGCGATGGGCGACGTAGGGGACGGTAGCGGTAGAGTGCGACGTAGGGGACGGTAGCGGTGGGCGACGTAGGGACGGTAGCGATGGGCGACGTAGGGGACGGTAGCGATGGGCGACGTAGGGGACGGTAGCGATGGGCGACGTAGGGGACGGTAGCGATGGGCGACGTAGGGGACGGTAGCGATGGGCGACGTAGGGGACGGTAGCGATGGGCGACGTAGGGGACGGTAGCGATGGGAGACGTAGGGGACGGTAGCGATGGGCGACGTAGGGGACGGTAGCGATGGGCGACGTAGGGACGGTAGCGATGGGCGACGTAGGGGACGGTAGCGATGGGCGACGTAGGGGACGGTAGCGATGGGCGACGTAGGGGACGGTAGCAATGGGCGACGTACGGGACGGTAGCGATGGGCGACGTACGGGACGGTAGCGAGGGGCGATGCAAGGGCCAATAGCGAGGGGCAGCGCAGGGGCCGGTAGCGAGGAACAGTGCATGTGCAACACTTACTAAAGAATTGCAATTTTTATTAAGGGATGCTGCTGCTTTGAAATAATCCTCATACATAGTGTTAGGTTATCATATGTTAAATTTTCATTATTTATCACCATTCTGTATTTACAATGATCACATGTTTGATGCAGTCAGAATTGAAAACAACAAGCAGTATAAAATATGTATGTATTGAACCTAAATGAAGCGGGCTTGCATAAGCAAACATAATATTTACTCTGGTGAAATGAGACTTAAATCTCCTCTGTACCTCCTGTTTTTGCTGTAGAATGAAATCTTGTGGATATTGATGTCATCCACCAGTTGATGGTGCTGGCAGACAGTCTTCCATTAGTGCAGTGGTAATTTAAAGTAGGTGATTAGTACAGTTTTTTACATATATTTACAGACAAGTATGCATGATTTACTGTATCTTCATGTTTGTGTAATTATATAATATTATTTATCTTTGATTAGTTTTTAGCATTTTTGTAATTAAAATTTTAATATTTTAAGCATTTCTCAGGAAAGTTTGTTACCTTTCATATACCTTTGAAGAGTTGCTAGAGTTTTTCAACGGGAAGCATAGTTTAATTTCCAAATCTTATTCAGTCCGCATGAAATTTGTTACCTCAGGCCAAACAGTAAATCCAGACCAGTTCAGCTATCAAATTATTTACCAAGCTGGCTTTCAGTGCTTGACACGCACATACAGTATAGTGTTTCATTATGCATGTAATTGTGCAGATTATAATTTTGCGAGTCGTCAGTGTAGAAGTCATAGCTCACAAAATCGTAATGACACGATTGCAAACAAACCATACCACGGGCGGGGATAGAACCTGCGATCAGAAATATACCTAGAAATATACCTAGTTGGACAAATCTTATTATGGCTAGCTGGTCCAGTGGCTAACGCGATGGTCTGGAGTTTTGAGACTCTCTGATCACGGGTTCTATCCCCGCCCGTGGTATGGTTTGGTTAGAAGTCATAGTTTTGGTCAGATGTGTCCTACAGTCAGACTAGTCAGATTTGTACTGCCCATATGCAGAAACTGCTCGTGTATATGTATTTTCAGGTAACTTAGACAATGGTCATGTGAAACTTCTGCTTTCAAGTGGCAGGTTGGGGTGAGGATGAAGATAATTTTGGAAGGTGAAGTGTAGTTGAGAATGATGGAGATAGTGGATGCCTGATGCTAGACTACCAGCTTCCTAAAATATGCATATTAAAAAATAATAACTGGAATTAGGCATGTTTTAGCAAGTAGTGACTAGAGCACTAAAATATTTTAACATTGAATAGATGTCTGAAAATGTGCAGTATTATGAATCATGATTTTGTGTGTATGCTGTATTAGGTTTTGTAAACTGAGGTAAAAAAAGAAGGATGTGATGTGACAAATAGAAGTTTGTGATACACAGTACAGTACTTCTCTCTCCTTGCATGAATACTTAATGATTAAAACTATTTCTTACGTTTTTTCTTATACTTCTCTAATTATTTCATTGCTTTAATGTTTAATATATTAAGTACTATATAGTAATTATAATTTTTTAATTAAAGTTTTTGTTTCTTTGCAGATTTTGTATATATGGTTATAACTTCATAACTAATCCCTAAATTTGGAGAGGAAACTTTGACCAACACTTCAGTCTGTCCTGGACCAGGACCTCAACTTGGACTGAAAAGTTGTCTAAAGTTTCCTCTCCAAACTGTGCATTGGAAATTGTTCCAGCCATCGTATTGTTTTTTGTTCTCCATTACACTAGTATGTCTTTGCATCCACTGAGTCATGTTCTATAATTTATGACTAGAATTATTATTTTAAAATGTTTTACATTCTGTGGTTAGCATTGTACAGCTTGCATGATTGGTTTACCTCTGCTTAGTATTGCACACTTTGCATGGTTTAGTCATTATATGTTCTTAAGTGTCATTCAGTTACTGTCATAATCTTGTAATTATAATATTCTCATTCCACAAATACTGAACATTATTTTGTATCCCTTAGTAACAGATATCCTGCCTCCTGCATATTTTCATGTAGTTCAACTAAATTGGCAGTGAATATTTCATACACTATTCTTTGTTAGTAAGTAGTATCAGCATTCTATGAATTCTGCCTTATAATGTATCTCAAGAGTGCCTGGGCTCTAAGTTTATTTTCTTTCTCTCTGTCTCTCACCGCCATTTTTGCACAACAGATGGATTTAATTTTACTGTACAGTGGTACCTCGGGATACAAATTTAATTCGTTCCAGAAGGCCTTTCAAGTGCCAATACCGAAGGAATTTGTTCCCACAAGGAATAATGTAAATTAGATTAATCCATTTCAGACCCCCAAAAATACACTTACAAAAGCACTTGCATAAACACACTTATATAATTGTTCAAGTTTTCAGCTGTTCGTATCCCGAGGTACCACTATACTTCAAATTAAACTTTTTCTTTGATTTCCTTGCTATTCTCACTGGCTATATTGTAAGATGTGCCTTATTCTAAACATTAAAAATATTTTTTTTTTTTTTTTTTTTTTTTTAAATTTGTTTTAAGAATCAATTTTTTTCTTATATGTATTAGAATGTGTTAAATTAGTGGAAATTTGGCTTAATTTGCTATATGTATTGACAATTTCAAATTGCATTTAATTCTTTTACAGTATTTGAGATATAGTTTGTGATGGTTGGTGATGGAATATTACAGATGGCTTCTGTGAGTGATGATGACAGGGCGCTGGTGCAGAAGAAAGACACCGATGTCTCTGTGACCTTGCCATTTCCTGAGCTACTACCTGTTGGAAGAGTTAATTACTCATTACCTGCTATGAGTTTTTTGGGTGATGAAAATGAGAGTAGTCATGAGACTTTACCAGTTAAGGAGCCTGATAAAGCTCCAGTGAAAGCTTTAGAAGAGAAAAAGAGAGAGAATTTAGACATGTGTGAAGACTGCTTGCGGCGGCAAAGTGAACATCACTTGTCAAGTAGTGATCGTCGATCATCACATGGCATGAAGTACCCACCATTTTTGGAATATTCACTGGCTAATTTACACCTTTCTCCAGGAAAAAAGAAACCTCTGCTCAGGAAAAGTAAGCTGGCAGTTTTGGGTGCTAAATATAGTTCAGAGTTGCGTAGTGGAAGCTACACTGGGATTATATTTGATTTAGTAAATGCATCTAAAGATATAGGTAACAAGAAGCTTCCCAAGAAAGTATCTGCTTCAGAAATTGGTAAAATCCCTCCAATATCTAGTGATGTTTTATTGAATCCCGGAAAGTCTGCACCAGGCGTATTTCATGTTCCTAAATCTGGCTTGTTTGAGTCGCTGAATAAGAAAACTGAGGCAAAAGATTTTGCAAGTGTTTGTCAAAGTAATAAGAGTTTGAGCAGTGATAAATATAGTGCAAACAAGAAACTAGAATTCTCTCCCCATGGGTGTAAGCACCGTAGTCAGCCAAAGTCACGTAGAGTGTTGTATAAAAGACGCTGTCGGCGACGATTAACAGAAGGAGAACTACCAGACCTTAAAAGTCTGTCACTCACTGAGACTCTGGATGTTGGCACTGTTCGCTCATGTTCACAACAAGCTCGTAGTGCAGACTATGAAGATGTTACCATGGATGAACTGGCAGCGTATCTTGATAACTTCCTCTACCTCCCGAAGAAGATGTCTCATATGGCAGAAATGATGTACACATGAAATAAGCCCAATTAGACGTGGTGGGATTGGTTTATGTAACTCAAGCTCATTTCTTTACTGGAAACTTCACGCTGGCAGCTGCTTAATCATGGCTTGTACAGTATATGTATAAATGGCCTTTCTTTACTGTGTATGGAGTTTTTGATTACTGCTATTTTTATAGTTTGCCTGGCATTTGGTAGTACAGTACGGTACATGGCTTGTTGCAGTTATGGTATTTTTGTTTGGTATTTAAAGGGTTTCCTTTTTTAAAGTGTTTCATAACCAATGTGGATAACAATCTTTTTAAATTATGAGAATATTAAACATTCTGAAATTTTTGCAGCATGAAAGGTAGAAGAAAATTGGCTAAGGCTTCCAGATACATAGCTGTATGACCCTTATGGGTTTAACACTTATTTTTTAAGATTATAGTGATTCAAGATGAATTATCACCAGTTCTCTGGATCTTCCTGCATTATGTTGAAAATGGTATAAAATACCGACAAGTTGATGATTAAGACGTGCAACAGTTGGGTATCTTTATTGTTGAAACGTTTTGCCTACACAGTAGGCTTCTTCAGTCAGATACAAAGGTAGCAGGTGTAGTAGTAAAATGAAGATGATGTCCACCAACCTTGGAGAAATAGTATATGAGGTGGTCAGTCCCTCAGCCTGGAGGAGAGTTCAGCTCCATGGTCTGGAATGATATTGTTCCAAACCATGGAGCTGAACTCTTCTTCAGGCTGAGGGACTGACCACCTAAAATACTATTTCTCCAAGGTTGATGGAGTAATTACATCATCATTTCACTACTACACCTGCTACCTTTGCATTTGACTGAAGAATAATACTGTGTAGGCAAAATGTTTCAACAATGATACGTAATTGTTGTATAAAGTATGTCTTAATCTTCCTGCATTGTTGTTTCTTTTTTTTTTTTAATTTATTTAAAAGCAGAACTTGTATTTAGTTTATAATTAAACCATATACATTATTTATATATTTTTTTGCATTGTAATATGATGGGTTGACACAGTCAGAAATCATGGAGGCGAGTTCATTGCTTGCAGTGACTATAAGTGTAACAGTTTTTGTAACACACACGCCAATCATAACACCATTTTTTATTTGTTATAGTGCTTCTGATCTTGCTGTGTAAGTTACAGTTTTTAGGAGTATATTGATGCACTAATTAGATACTGACAGTCTCTAATATGGTAACTTGACAAACTAATATACATGGCATTGTAATGGATAAACCAGTAGAGGAAAGGGAAGAAAAGAGCCCTTCTGTATTTGTGTTTATTTATTAATGTTGATCGATTGCTTAAATATGATCCAATGCCTAAGATTTCTGTTTATCAAAATTTGATTCCCTGTTCACAGTAGTTACACATCTGTTGGTTTATGAATGCATTAATTGATAAGACTTTGTTCTCTGATTAATCTACTCTTAAAATATTTGTGATTAAATCACACCAATGCATGCCATTCATGTTAGTTATTTTCACTATAGAAAGTGTGTCAAAACATAGACCTGAAGCCTATGTATGTTATAAAGCATTTTTTTTTTTACTGTGGTAATTGAATTTTTCTTTTAACCTATCTTAATAATTACACACTTGCAAATATGTTTTTTCCTGTATTTATATAGCTTTGCATGTCACTAAGGCTGTGTCCTGTTGAGTCATAATAAACTTGAATCTATGTATTGTAACTTGTCTAAATCAAAAGGGTTTGCTTATATATTGTACTCATTCAAGCATAAGGCAGAATATCTTAACATGTGCACACATGAAACTGATCAACTATCTTATTATGAAGGCACAACAGCTCATTTTGAAACTAGCATAACCAGAGGGGACAACTTCCAAAACTCTTACTCTTTCACACTGGGTAATTATTATCACTGACCCACTTGCCAGTTAAAGCAGTTTATCATAGTGCTCCAGATTCATAACTTTCAGCATGACTGAAGTGCTTGAGTGATGATTGGACTTTGTGATTCTTGATTCAAATAAATACTGTAAAATTAATTGTAGAGTCCTGACCAGATTTCTATTTCATAATTCAGTACAAAATTTTATTTCCAGTTGTTATAAAATAAAAAATACCTACCTTTTGCTTCAAATTAAAACTATTTTCAATAGATTTTTCAGCAGCTTCAGTGCATCCTGTGAAATTAGTTTCCCCATGATTTATAGTTAACATTCCTCTTCAAGGGGGGCTCCTTGGCGTGGTGAAGAGGCTCTTGGTCTGAGGAATTAGACCTGTCGGTCTACTTCCTCAGACCGAACCTAATTACCCCCCAATCCCCCGTTCCCTATCCCATCCTCCCCTTTTTCCTTTCCTCCTCCTCCCCATCCCTCCCTTTTGCCCTTCCTTTTTGGCCTTTTTTTTTTTTTTTTTGTTCCCACAGGCACGCTAGTTCCTAGGTAGGGGAAAGGGTACCGGGGTCCATCCCATTCCATTGAGGTTCTTGGCGGTGGCGTAGTTTGCCATGGAATCTGGATTGCCTGGGGATGTCCTGATCCCTCTCCGGTATCCCAGAGGGTGGCTTTGGGTGTCTCTCTGGAAGCCACCTTTCGGATTCCGGGGGTGGTGGTTGAAGGAGGTATGCTTTGTGGCCGATTTCCGGCAGCCCTCTCTTTTGTCCACCGAGGTAGCTCGGCAGATGTGAGGTTGCTATCCCGGATTGCCAGTTTACTGGCATGATGGGTAGGGTATGGCACGGGTTCCATGCTGCATCTGCGTTACTTGCGGTGCTGAGGTCCTCTTGGGCGCAGAGGGAGATTTCTGGCCCTTTCATTCCTCCTAGGAACTATCCCTCCCCGGTCCCCCCTTTTTTTATTCTTTTTTTTATTTTTATTTTCTTTTTCTTTTTTTTTTCTTAAAAACAAAAAGAAAGAAGTAACCTAACCATGGCAGCCCTAGTCCATGAACCTGCTACCCCCGGGCCCCTTATTGATACCGCACCCTGTTCTGACCCCGCCTCGTCTTTGGACCACTCTTCAGACACTCCTCATGCCTCTGTACCTCTCGCCGGTGCTGTTTCCTCACCCGCTTCAGGTACTGAGGCCTCGACTGACTCCTTCGATTTATCTGACCTTCGCTCTCCTCTGACTATGCTTCCGGCCTCTCCCTCTACGGTGCGGCAATTTTCGAATCGCCGGCCCGTTCCACGTCGGACCAACTCTGGTCCCACGCCTAAACGCCAACGACAATTACCTGCTGATGATACTTCTCCACCTTCTCATTCTTCTCAGAAAAGATCGACACGTCCTTCACTACCTTTCCACGCTCAGTTTCAGACTGCACAATGGACTAAATTCTTCACTTTACGACCGACTTCCTCTACTGCCTATCTTTCTGACCACAGTATTGGCAAGGCACTCCTACGCCATGTTGGTAAAGATATTTCTTTTCATGCTCTTAAGAGCGGTACGCGCATCGTCACCGTACAGAATGCTACCCAGGCTCATGAGCTTTCTCGTCTTTCCCATATCGATACTGTTCCTGTAACTATTGAAAAGCATCATTCCCTCAATTCTTGTAGTGGTACCGTCATTCTGCCCCATACCATAGTTCAACAAAATTTCCAGACATGTGGCACTGACATTCTTGAACAGCTGGAACTCCAAGATCTCCCAATCCTCAAGGTAGATACTTACGTTCTTCCTGCCAGCGGGCGTAGACGATACCCTAGCAATGTGGCTCGTTTAACTTTTGACAGCCGTGAACTCCCATCTTCAGTTTATGTAGCAGGACATCGGTTACAAGTTCGAAAGGTGATCCCTACACCGCAACAGTGTAGAAATTGCTGGCGATTTGGCCATCCAGCGAAATATTGCAGATCTATCGCCGAATGCCCAGTCTGTGGTGCCGATGACCATTCTAATACGTCTTGCAATCGACCTCCCTCTTGCCTTAATTGTCATGAGGCTCACCCTTCGTACTCTCGCCGTTGTCAAGTCTACTTAAACGAGCGGGAAATCCGTTACCTCAGAGAGGCAGAAGGTCTCCCTTATGCCATGGCAGTTTCTCATCTCCGCCTCCAAGGGAGACTACCTTGTGTTTCTTATTCCCGTGTTTCAAAACGTCCCCCCACTTCTGGTATCCCATCTTCTGCACCCACCTCTGTGGTTACCTCTCCCATAGTCACTCCTGTAGCTAATTCTTTTGCTGTCCTCGGCTCGGACGTCCCTACTTCAACGTCTCAGTCTGATGATGATTGAGACACTTATGCAGCATATGGGAATCTTTATTCAGGAAACGTTTCACCACGCAGTGGCTTCATCAGTCCAATACAAAGAGGAAGGCGTAGGGAGAGGAGGAGAATGAGGTAATCAGTCCCTCAACCTGGAGTCGATGTGTTCAGTCCATCAATCTTGTAGAATGTACAGCATAGGGCCGTAGACGTGGCTTATATACTGTAGTGAGGTGACGTGAAGCAGTTGGAGGCGGGGTCATAGTGGTACCATCCACTAGTCGAAGTAGGTCTTCGTCCAAAGGTTGAACAAGTGTTGAAGAATTCTTTGTAACAAGATCCCATGATGCTGCTGTGTCTGACAGTTGTGATGAATGGTTTGAAAAACCGACATGTTGAAGATTGAGACACTTATGCAGCATATGGGAATCTTTATTCAGGAAACGTTTCGCCACGCAGTGGCTTCATCAGTCCAATACAAAGAGGAAGGCGTAGGAGAGGAGGAGAATGAGGTAATCAGTCCCTCAACCTGGAGTCGATGTGTTCAGTCCATCAATCTTGTAGAATGTACAGCATAGGGCCGTAGACGTGGCTTATATACTTCGACTAGTGGATGGTACCACTATGACCCCGCCTCCAACTGCTTCACGTCACCTCACTACAGTATATAAGCCACGTCTACGGCCCTATGCTGTACATTCTACAAGATTGATGGACTGAACACATCGACTCCAGGTTGAGGGACTGATTACCTCATTCTCCTCCTCTCCCTACGCCTTCCTCTTTGTATTGGACTGATGAAGCCACTGCGTGGCGAAACGTTTCCTGAATAAAGATTCCCATATGCTGCATAAGTGTCTCAATCATCAACATGTCGGTTTTTCAAACCATTCATCACAACTGTCAGACACAGCAGCATCATGGGATCTTGTTACAAAGAATTCTTCAACACTTGTTCAACCTTTGGACGAAGACCTACTTCGACTAGTGGATGGTACCACTATGACCCCGCCTCCAACTGCTTCACGTCACCTCACTACAGTATATAAGCCACGTCTACGGCCCTATGCTGTACATTCTACAAGATTGATGGACTGAACACATCGACTCCAGGTTGAGGGACTGATTACCTCATTCCCCTCTCCCTACGCCTTCCTCTTTGTATTGGACTGATGAAGCCACTGCGTGGCGAAATGTTTCCTGAATAAAGATTCCCATATGCTGCATAAGTGTCTCAATCATCAACATGTGTTTTTCAACCATTCATCACAACTGTCAGACACAGCAGCATCATGGGATCTTGTTACAAAGAATTCTTCAACACTTGTTCAACCTTTGGACGAAGACCTACTTCGACTAGTGGATGGTACCACTATGACCCCGCCTCCAACTGCTTCACGTCACCTCACTACAGTATATAAGCCACGTCTACGGCCCTATGCTGTACATTCTACAAGATTGATGGACTGAACACATCGACTCCAGGGTTTAGGGACTGATTACCTCATTCTCCTCCTCTCCCTACGCCTTCCTCTTTGTATTGGACTGATGAAGCCCCTGCGTGGCGAAACGTTTCCTGAATAAAGATTCCCATATCTGCATAAGTGTCTCAATCATCAACATGTCGGTTTTTCAAACCATTCATCACAACTGTTCAGACAAAAGCAGCATCATGGGATCTTGTTACAAAGAATTCTTCAACACTTGTTCAACCTTTGGACGAAGACCTACTTCGACTAGTGGATGGTACCACTATGACCCCGCCTCCAACTGCTTCACGTCACCTCACTACAGTATATAAGCCACGTCTACGGCCCCATGCTGTACATTCTACAAGATTGATGGACTGAACACATCGACTCCAGGTTGAGGGACTGATTACCTCATTCTCCTCCTCTCCCTACGCCTTCCTCTTTGTATTGGACTGATGAAGCCACTGCGTGGCGAAACGTTTCCTGAATAAAGATTCCCATATGCTGCATAAGTGTCTCAATCATCAACATGTCGGTTTTTCAAACCATTCATCACAAGTCTCAGTCTGATCTCGCTTCTTCGTGTTCTCTCTCACAAGCCTCAGTAGCGACGAGATCTCGTATGACACCTCCTCCCAATCGTCCCTCTACTTCTCAAAAGTCAAAAAAAGGTCCGTTAACACCTCCTACCCATCTTCCACCTCCTCATTTTCCCTTCCCTGTCTCTGTACCTGGTTCTCCCCCTCTCACTGGCTCTGTTACAAGTGTAGAGGTTCACCACCCTCCTCGTACTGTACCTTCCTCCCCTGTTCCCTCCCAAGTTTCTTCCTCTTCTGCCACCTCCCAGGTTTCTGCCTCTTCTGTCCCCTTCCACGCTTCTCCAGTTCCCTCCACCTTTTCGCCCCCCCCCCCTACCTTGGTACAATCCATTACAGTTCCAATCTTTACTCATCCTCCCCCTACCATTTCCAATATTGTCTCCCATACTACGATGTCTCTGAATTCTGAAACACTTGAAGCAATCTCTGAATATATTGCAGAGACCAAACCATCAATGGACACTGATCCACCCTCCGCTCCTTCTCTCTCCTCTACTCCATCTGCACAACTCCTTTCTTCACAGCGCACCGTTCCTTCGCTGCTTGAACGTTTTCCACTGCCTCCGCATGTGGACTTTTCTAACCCCTCTAGTCCGTAGGAACCCTTACCTGCGGATTTCAGGTATCTTTATCATTGCCAATCATGGCCTATTTACAGTGGAATATACGCGGCCTCAGGGGTAATCGAGGTGAGCTTCAGATGTTACTCTCCCAGTTTTCCCCTGTTGGTGTTTGCTTACAGGAACCAAAATTACACTCTGCTGTTATCTCTCCCATCTCAGACTATAATTTATTGTATTCTTCAGATCCTTTTCCTGATGGGACCTTTAATGAAAGTGCCCTTCTTCTACGCACTGATATTCCGTACCATCA